GGGCTGCCTGTTCAAATGCAGCCACACTTCACCCGTTTACATGAAATGATGCCTAGGGGCTTTTGGAACCCCATGGCAATTTACCCTGTAACCAAACACACAACCACAAGCCCTCCCTCGTCATTAAGTGGCTGCCGGTTGGAAGAGAAATCATGTTTTAGTAGTTAAGACAAGCAAACATGATGTCCCTTCTAATTCACCAAATTAATTGAAAAGTTGTGTTTCCAAGTAGATTAGCCCCCTTTTATAGGTAGTGGTATATTTGGAAAAGTCTGAATTCGCTTCCACCTCTCTCTTTTTTTTGTGAGTTCCCATTTCCATACAGGGAATAAACTTGGATGGGCTAATCTACTCAGAAATGAATGTGCATTAATCTAACTGCCTCCACATTGACAAGTGTTTGGAAAGACGCAGGAAGGGCACTGGTCCCACAGATAATTCACTGCCTGAGACAATGAGCACTTGTGTAAGTTCTGAGCAAAATTGTGTCTATCGCAGGGCAGGAATGTGGGCTGTGCATCCTTATTTTCTCTCTTTAATGCTGGTGTAATTGCATGCTTCAGTGTGCAAGAGCAGATCGGAGTGGATTTTCTTAACTAGTGGTTGCAGCTTCAGGAAGGTGTCCGTGAGGATACCTACATGGATCCATGGAGCAGCTCCTGCTGATAATCTGAGTGCAGTCATATAGCTGGTTTTTTGCCTGGTGCAAAAGTCTCTCCCACTGCTCATCATTATTTTGTAAAATTATTTCCTTGTACATCAGAAGTGAGAACTGCCAAGGCTAATGAGCTAAGTCACTGGGCCTACTACCTCCATCCCCCCTGCTACACCAGGAAACCGAGTGTCCTTTACCAGGTTCTTCACTGGAGGTGGGAAGTCCCCGGTGTATGTCCACCACATCGGGAATCCTGTTCCCTTGGCAATGTTTGCAGCTGGCTTCACACCATGAGCACCTTCCTGGTATTTCCAGCTGTTGTGCTGGACATGGCACTGCCAGTCTGAGGAAATCACCTGCAGGTAGCCTTTTGGTTTGAGGAGGTGTTACACTGAAGCTGTGCCAGCCCTTGGCTAGGAATCTCATTTGGGTTTTCTAAAGTTCTGTATTTCCTTCTAAGAAGGAAGAAAATATCAAGTGTTTGCCGTGTGCTAGCAAGGCACATGGTAGGGCTGCAGTAAGACTGTGTGGGAGAGCACAGAGAATGTCATTTAATATTTAGACACCTTGAAGAACTGTATTGGTGGATTCTCCTTTGACTTATCATAACAGATATGTCTGGAGTACTTAAGGGTTGTAAGAAATCTTCCCAGCACAGCTGTAAATAGCAGCTCCAAGTCACAGACACACAGACCCTATTTGTAGAGTTAATGTACTTCCTATTTCACTATGGAAGGGTGTCCATCCCTACAGATCCTTGGGTCTGAAACCAAACAGATACCCAATGAGTGAAATTAAATAAAAAAGTTTTCATTTGTGTTCTATGAACTAAAACCAAAGAACTCAGAGCCCAGAGCCATGACAGTTCTGGATTGGCACAGGTTAACAACAGGTAAAACTGAGACCCATTTCAGTCACACTTCAAAGTGGGTCTTCAGAGACAATGACTTGCAATAAATGATCAGCATAGAATGACTGTGTCCATCCCATGGCACTGTTTTTAACACAAAGTCAAGCAAAGTAAAGCAGAAGCATGAGAGCAACACTCTTCTAAAGCAACGTACATCTTTATTCTCCACCCAGGCCAGCAAGGATGGGAAAAGGGAATGTAATTAAATATAACAATCAGCAAACACACATTATCTTTACTTAAAAAAAAATCCAGACTAGAGCAGCCAGAAATACACTCAACAATCAGAATAACTGGAATTCCCTGCAGTTTGACAGTGGCATATAAGCAGAAATGATTTGTGAGTTTCTGAAAGCAAGAGAAGAACAAGACAAAAACTTGTGCTTTTTTTAATTACAACAATAGATTATGATTATATATTTTGCAGGAGGCAAACCACTCCAGGGGATAACAGGCAAGAGAGAAAACTGTCTTGAGCTGTTTTGAGAAAAGTTTGAATAGATCATTTACAAATAGCACCAGAACTAGCCCCAAGCTTAAACTAGCCCCCACGAAATCAATGGCAGAACACCCT